ATCAAGTAAACATTCTCTTCATTAGTGTTACCATGAGAAATTTTTTTGTCTGTTGAACCTGTTTATAGTATCTTTGTGACATGCAGGGTGATTTAATTTAAAGCACATTAAGAATGAATAAAAAAATACTATTCTTGCAAGCTTTGCTGCTTCATAATCACTGCTATAAATGCTGATAAAGTTTGCCACAATTTAAATGGGAAGATGAAAACAGGTTCTTGGCCATACATTGTGTGACTCTGGTACGATGCCATGTTAATGGAAGGCAGAAGCCAGCCATGGATCTTTTAAAACACCTTTACCACTCTGAGCATTTTCTGAACTCTGTCATACCTCTTGCATCAGTTACAGTCAGCCAGTGTTTATGTAATTACATCCCTAACTTCTATGAGTAAATTGTATTTAGTAACAGCAGTTGGGTATTTTGTGGATATTGGTTGCTGAACATTACAACTTGTCTTACAAAGGGTCATTCTGAGGGGGCTTCTAACTGGCCATGCCATAGTGTTGCCTGTATGTTTTATTTACAATAATTTAAATAAAGAATATTATGCAATCCTGAATTTGTGTTAGAACTAGTTCCCAGTTATATTTCTTTTCATATTACAATGCAGTCATATTCTTCGTTTGCTCTCACCCAAACTTCTCATGCAGTTGCACTTTAATGTGAAAAGAAATGTTGTCAAGAGTAGTTATTATCACACACCAGAATATTGTATTAGCATTCACATTTAATAGATTAAAATGAAAGATTTTGAAATCTGGTCTTAATGATACCGAGGGATCTTGGAGACACATTGGGAAAGCTTTATATGAAATGTCATATGATATATATACATCATACATAGGTTCATAAAAGACAGTTCATTTAACTGCCTGCCTTTGTTTTCTTCTGTTCTGTTGGGATGAATCACCCATGGGTTAAGTGATGCTTGTGCAGTTTCTTTGCTTGAAATCAAGCACAGTGAAGTGGCAGGAAAGCTTAGGGAATACAAGCTGAGATTGCCAACCTGAGAATGATGAGTACAATAAGACAATTTTGGAGGCATAGACTATAACCTGGAAGGACACTCTGGTAGCTGAAGATATATTTGAGCCATATCTGGCCATCACTGATCCAGATAGGTTGCTTGAACTGTTGTTGTATACATCACCTTACTTGTAAAGCTGAATTTCAGGTGGATATAGCATTAATTAAAGGGTCCAGGTGGAGACTTCTTGAAAAGTGCCATGCTGCGGAGCCTGCACATTACAAAGCAGTCTATTAAAGGTGAAATGATTCAATATTCATTTCTGGGGTTTAGGGTCACATTTTGGAAGCTTCTAAAAAGATGGGGAAAAATATAAATAGAACTTTCCAGTTGATCCAGTTGTTGGCATTTTTTCCTCAGTTTATTGTTTTGATGTGGGATCGTCACATTTGGGCAAGGTGAGCATTGTATCTGTGCTGCATTAGTGTTTCTGCTTTTTGTTATTGAAAGCTTGTGTACCCTTGTTTTGGCTGGGGTGGGATGTACAGGTCATCTCTATTTCACACTGCTTTGGTAGTTGGGAAAGGGGATGATGAATAAACAAATCAGCATTGCAGTAAATATTTTGTTTTATTCTGGTATACAAAGATCGTATTTTCACTTTTTTATAAACATTTTAGTAAACATTGAAAACGTGAAGGAGGTATCTCCTGGCAATACCTGCTGTACAAAATGCATGTGTATATGCCTCATCCATTGAGTTTATGGGTGTTTTTCAGGCTCATATCCAAAGTCTTAGGAACTGCCAAGTAGTCATGCACCACACTGCACTGGACTGAGGGCAGATAATAATTTAAACAGCAGTAAATGTAGTACAAACATTAACATGGCAAGAGTGTTATTGTCAGCTGATGCATTACAGTCCACAATCTGCATATATAAACACTATAAAAAATACACATCCCATCAAATCTTCCTGACCTATATAACCTATTACACAACATCTTGCACATACTTCTCACAAGCAGATGCTAAACATTGCAGTGACTAAATTCCATGCTTGAATATTGAAGAAATTAAGTAACAAATCAGACAGCTGCTTGCTATTTTTAGATGTTAACAGGTCACTCCGATTTTACAAACAATATGCATCGATTTATTTTTCTGAAAATTTGCCCTAACAAATTAATCCAAAATGTTGGAGAAGGTCATTTCTCATGTAAGCATCAATCCCCTTACATTTCTCATGTAAGGTCAAAAGGCCATGAAGTTTAAATTTACACATATTTTTTCTGTTTGGGTTTTTCTGAAACATGCTCACATAAAGCTCACAGACCATGGCAGAAATAAAAAAATATTTCAGAGCTAAATAGAGGGCCACAAACAACAAACAGGAGAAGCTGAGATCCAATATCCTATCATGCCGGGGGGACCACTAATAGCAAGTCACTGATTAGGTAGGCAGGTAATGCAAGAACAACACATAGAATTGTAAAAATTTCAGTATTCATGGAATACTGAACCTTAGGGAAATTATTCAAAGAATGCAGATTTGGTGATTGTAAGCTTGGGAGCAAGGACAGACGACCAAACATTCAAAAGAGGGAATTATATGAAAGACAAGTTTACTTCATAAAGATTCTTAAATCATAGTCTCATGCATCATGGAAGGCAAAATAAATTGAAATAATCCTTGACTGTATCTAGCCAGTAGGCAGAAAAGAAAAGAAATTTCTTCATATTCACTGCAACTAAACACATGCAACACAGTATTTGAGTTATAGCAAAGCTTGCAATGTATCACAACAAATGTATGAAGATAACGAGGGAAATTCAAAGGAGGAGACTCAAGGAATGATGGCTTCCAAGGCAGATAGAACTCCCATAAGCAGCAAGTGTAACTATCCTGTCCATGGGAAATGTGATATGGATTGCGTCTGTTCCAAAAAAGATATCAAATCTCATTCTAAAATGTCTAAGAAATGATGAGTTTGCTGTTGACATAATGCTTAATTACCTCCTAAAGTAGGAACTTGTATCTTATTTCAGGGCTGAATTTCTGTAACTTCCATTTCTCAACACTAGATCTCATTATACCACTGTCAGGAAGGCTGACATCTTGCTATCAGACATCTTTCCAGGGTGTAAGTACCAATCACAGTGATCAAGGCACCTTTCAGCCTTTCGTCTGACAAGCTGAATAAGTTGAGCTCCTGTAGGACTTGCACTGGAGTGCTTGCTTTCCCACTACTGGCTCTGAAATCTCTCTTCAGAATTTCACCTGCTCATTTGAGAAGAATGAATTTTTTTCCAATCTAGATACTAAAATCTTTTCTCCAGAGCTCTACTTTGAGTGCTTGAGAAAGCTAAAAGAAATGGTACATGTCAACAAGAAACAAAAAAGGAACAAGCATCAATATCTATATTATGATCTAATCTAACTATCTCTATTCTGTCAAAATTTTGAAATACTCTATTCCCTATGGCAGATCTGCGTCTGTGGCATAATCCTTTCCCTCCCTTGAAACTAGGACTTCTGACAGATAGTCTGTGACTATTAAATAGCTCTGGCCAGGAAGGGCAGACCATCAGCTGCTGTGCCAGGAGCTGGCACTTGTTCATGTTACTGCTGCTGTTACAAGCCTTGTAGCCTCTGGCAGAGAAAGAAGATGAACAGCTGGAAGCAGAAACCTTTTCAGCCACCTCAGCAAAAATTGGTAGAGCTATCTGCCAAAGACACAGTTTAACTTTGCCACCTCAGGCTAGTAGAATATACTGCACCTTGCAGGTAGAATATCCCCAGAAGCTCAACACTGATCAAGAAATATCCATGGGATATTTAACAGGCACCTTCTGTGGGAGCAGAGCAATCTCAGTAGTAGGGACTTCTTAAAAAAGCTGCTGTGTCATGCAAAACAATGGTTGATGTCCAAAATATGTCACTCTAAGCATTCACACAAGGGGTCATGTGCAAGTTATTTCAAACAGACCTTGTAACAGCTGGAAATTTGTGGTTCATGACTGGAGATAGGAATTTCTGCTGTTGTTAATTTCTGCTTAAAAGGTTTGAAAAGATTTTCCCTAGCTCCTGAGCAGACACTGGGACGATCGTCGCCCTGTTGGTACTGCCAGTTGAGTGGGTGTGACGAGAGTTCTGTGGGGATATTTTCCAGACTATGTAAGAAATCAGTAGTTTTACACTTCTTTGTGCTGGTACAGGATGAGGCTTCAGATCTGACAGTTTTTCTCCATCTAAACCTTCAGATTTTAATCAACTCCTTTCTATGACATTTCCGTTACTTCTTAACTGCAGTTGAGAGGAGGAAAAAAAAAACTGAAATAAAAAGGAAAGAAGAAAAGGAAATAAGCTTTTTATATATTGTATATATTTCCAGGAATGGTATTTATCATTTACAGATGGTTATTTTTGCAGCTCTGATTATGAATGTTTACTTTATTCACACATCAAGCAAACTATCCTCTTACACCATACGGATGGGAGGTATATTCTTTCATACATTCAGATGTCTGAAAGCTGTCTGAAAACGTATTTCTTATTTTCTGGCATGGGAACATTTCTGTTGGAGGGGGTTTAATTTGTTTTGAAATTTCAATTCTTGTTCTACTCAGAAGCTAAAGTTGGAATCCATTAAGATGCATTTTAGTGCAGATTCTATTCTCATCTTTCTTTTTTCAGTAAGTGTGCAATTCACTTAGTACTTCATTGCAACCAACAGCAATATGTATACATGGTGCACAAAATGAGGCATTTTGTTTTAAAACAGATTGCAGATGAAAGGAAACCATTCATTTCTTCCTTGCTAGCTGTAATTACTAGAGCACTAATTACTCCAAATCACTGACATCCAGGGTCAATAAGGATGACAACAGGAACATCAAAGACAAGATGCACACATGCAATTACAAGTCTCTAAAACCAGGCTGTAATATTATTTTATAGCAACTGTTTTTTTCAGTCAATGCTAAAAAATCGAGTTTGCTGAATGTTTACTATTATTTCCTTTGCAGTTTGACGGTGAGAACATGTATATGAGTATGACAGAACCAAGCCAGGACTACGTGCCAGCCAGCCAGGTGGGTTAATTAATCTTCTCTGCCTTGTTTCAAATTGTAATTAAAAAAATTCAAAGAGTTGCATTGCAAATGAGTGGCACTATCAGTAACTGCTGCAATCAGGAATAATCATAATTTATAAACAAAGCATTTAAGCCTTGTTTCCAGTTAATGAGATAGAGCTGATAAAACACCAGAGTTGGCGTTTGTTGAAAGATACTACCTTGTTTCCTCTCCAGAATGCAAGCAGCTGTTTTGCCAGCATGATCTTTCCTAAACAGTTGTTTTACCTTCAGGAAATAAAGTCTTTACAGGTGCAGGTTATTTGTTTATCTGACTGCAGACAAGTTAATCATTATAAGCTATACATGTCACAAATATCTTTAATTATCATGCATAGAACAGTTGAAGAATTGCATTTTTAGCACCAATCCTGTGTCTGAGAAATGTTGCTATTATTACACAATTAGCAGTGGGGTTAAGGCAGTGACTTAGCCTTCTGTAGCCTACAGGCCAAAAGGCTTAATGTGATGTGCATTCTTTAAAGGTATTTTTGAGCCCTTTTCCTTTTGGGGAACCATACACACTAAATTTTGATACTGGATGTAAATTAAAAAATCTTCCACCTTTCCACTTGACCTCAAAGATCCTATAGATTTCTAAGAATTACAATTGTAATTACTCCTTAAAAAGCAAAAATAGTTTTGAAAGTTTTGGGTTGTCTACCTGTTGCTAGGTCTATATGTAGGGGGGAATTTTTCATTTAGTTTGCATGTTTCAGTTTAACTTTGCTCCAGTAAGTGGTGGGAATGGTGCTGCAGATCAGTTAGTTTGTGTCAGAAATTGCCATGAATAACCAGACTTGTAGTCCATGTCATGCAATATTTCAGGCCAGTGGTGTCTGGCCTGACAGAACCAGGAGGCTTATGCATAAAACTCTCATTAGGTGGGAAATAAGTTTGAATGAATAGTAATTATGTCCAGATAACATAACTTGAGATAATTATAGATCAGATAACTGGATGTAACTTAGGAATCAACAGCTTTGGAAAATGTGCATTCAAAACTAAATGTCTTCATGAAGTAGTGTTCTTCAGGTACACAGGTTCCTTGGGGGCAGAGAAACAGGAGGTTGTGTGACATGAGTACATGGTTCAATCAAAAAGACCATCTTTAAAGCATTCCACCATGTTGCTTCCCTGCTTTCTGTTGAAGTCACTCTGAAATACCTTTAGAGACCAATAGTACTTTGCATTTAGGAGTTGTGCATGATTGAACTTATTCAGCTAAGAACCCACCAAGATCCAGAGGTAGTTTAGAATAGAACTGTTTGATTAAAAAATGAAAAATTATATTATTAATTTTTCTCTAACCATTAATCCAAAAACTGTACTGACAAGTTTTAGTATTACTATTAGATTAAAGCAGCCTAGTATCATCTCATTCTTGCCTTAAGGGTTTTGAAGTGCAAGGGCTAATTGAATTTGTTTGAAACAGTAGAAATACAAACTGTGTGAATGATTGCTGTTATCAGGCAGCTGCTACCTTTCAGAGGATCATTATGTCTGTCTTAAATAGTTTTGAATAAAGAATTGCAAATCCACATTATACATCAGAATTATTTTCCTTCTGTTGATATTTTTGTACTGTGTATGCAGTCCTGTATGCATGTAGTTTAAATAATTTAAATGGCATATTGAAAAATTAAGAGTATAAGTTTTAATCTTTTATGTGGTTTCTACATGTGCTAACAAGGCCCAGATTCTCAAAGATATTTATGTATCTAACACTCTGGTTGAAGTGAAAGTACGGTTCTTAAAGTACCTTTAAAGAGCCAGGCCTAGGTATTTTAAATGCAAATTACTTTGTCTTCAAGGAAAAAAAAATCTATCAAATGTGACATTTCCAAATTCAAAGATGTCAGAAAACCCTGAATTCTTACTAAGGGCTGGAATCAAGAAAACGCTTGCAGACTTAAAATCTGACCATAGCAAAACGAAACTCTGCGGTGTCTGGCTCCCAAAACCCAAAGGCAACCTCTGTCTTTTGCTGGGGGACCCATGTGGCAAGAAGCAGCTCAATTGCCAGGCAGAGTGTTTTAAGTTGTTACCGAGTGTGCACCAGTCAGCCAGCCTTCTGTGCCTGGTTGAGAGTAGCTGTCAGCCTTGGGCTGTCACAACCTCCTTTCCCTTGCTGGGATTTTCTCCTGGTGCTTACTGTGTTGCGGTGGTTTTAAGTGAATACACAGATTCATAGAATGGACAGGGTTGGAATGGACCTTAAAGATCGTCTAGTTCCTACCCCCACGTCATGTGCGGGGAGCCTTCCACTAACCCTGGTTACTCAGAGCCCCACCCAGCCTGGCTTTGAACGCTTTCAGTTATGAGAAGTCCACAACCTCTCTGGGCAACCTGTGCCAGTGCCTCACTACCCTTATAGCAAAGAGCGTCTTTCTCCTGTCTAATCTAAACCTATCCTCCTGCAGCTTAAGGCCATTCCTCCTTGACCTATCACTGCAGGCTGTGGTAAAAAGTCTCTCTCCAGCTTTCTTGTTGGCTCCCCTTAGGTACTGGAAGGCTGCTCTAAGATCTCCCTGGAGCTTTATATTTTCCAAGCTGAACAGCCCCAGCATTTTCAGCCTGCCTTCTTGCCTTCACAGAAGAGGTATTCCAGCTCTGTGTGGGCTGGAGCATATGTGAAAGCCTGTAATAATAACAGTATTTGAAAAAAAAAAAAAAAGAAAGAAAAAAAGAGAGAAAAAGAGACAAAACAACTCCACTGAGAACAGGAATATGGGGTGTGATGGAAACCTGTCTCTCATGTTTCATCAAGAACCTGTGACTGTGAGAGGAGCCTTCCCAAACCTGTTCCTGACACAGACAGCTGCTAGGCATTCCTCAAAGGAACTAAACAACTCTTCATTGGCAGTATCTGTGAGGTCTTCACTGACTGTAATGGGGTGGTGTTCCTTTCTTGGGCATAAGCATTTGGTGGTCAGCCAAAACTGGTGAACTGATTACCATTTCAAAGTCCAGTCTGGTGGTTAAAACTGGAAAAAAACCACAGTATTTCCTGCTCTGAAAACAAAACACAAAAGACTGTGTAACTTACAGGGATAAGGAGAGGAACAGTAAAGGATGCAATTATATTTTCTGACCATAGTTTTAGGACTGTTTGTTCATTTTCCTGTCACTGTTACTGGATGTAAAACGCATAATGCCATAAAAAGAGAGGAGGAAATGTTCTCTCTCAGAAGACAGCATAGTTACTCTAATCATAATTTTGTCCTATGTCTATTTTGCACCTGTGTTCATAAGTCTTGCCATTACATGACCTCAGTGCGAGGAATTCAGGCTCCTTCCCACCCTTAATAACTTGGCTGTTCCCTCACAAGATCAGAGATAAGGGGTTGAATCCTTCAGAATGAGAAGTGAGTTAATTATTCTGCTTTTCTTGATGAATTCACGTCTGTTAACTAAAATATGAATCCCACATGTAAGGAGATACATAGTCCTATCAGAAACTTTTATTGAAGATCTGGCCATGCTGACTGAGTCAGACATGACCATAATTTTTTAATTTCAGAGTCTGACATAGCTTATTTGGGAAGTGGGCTGGCAGACTGAGTCATGGTATGTAACACCAAGGACCGAGGGATTTCCACTTGGCTGTCTTCAGGATTAGGTGACCGTAGAGGCAGGATTGCTGGGGTCCTGATACATGCTGACAAGCACCTCGGTTCTTCTGTTTACTCCAAAGTGTTCCTAGCCAGAAAAACATCACCTTATATTATTTTACAGGTTTTAATCAATTTATCCCCCTTAGGCTAACATAAATAAAAGCTCAGCCATTAGACAGGAAAAAATATAGTTTTGTTCCTTTTGCTGTGTAACATCAAACATCTGCATAGTTTGGTAATCCAAGACAAGTTGCCTCACAGCATCCCTCAACAATAATTATCATTTCTGTTCAATTTTCAAATCAGTACATGCTTTGGGACTTACAGACCAAGTTGCTAAGTAGCAACATATGGCTCACTACTGTTCCTGTGATGTTGCTGCAAGCAAATAGCATAATTCTATACTTGAAATGATTTTTACAGAAAGCCAGTGCTGGAACTGAGCCAGAAGAGTAAGTATACAGTAAAAATTAATGATATTCTTTTAGAGCGTCCCAAAAGGCTGTTTGGCAATGTTGTCTCTGTGTACATTTTATATATATGTGTAAGTACTGCATTTTTGGTTACAATATATGTAGTACAGGACTCTACACTGAAGGCATCTCCTAAATTAGTTATGCCAGCCATATTAACAAACATACACAGTAAAACTGTGACATTTTCACTACTAATTGCACTTGGATCTGAAAGTATTTATTGTTTTAAAATAAAACTATGCCAACAGATCTGCATTTGAGATTCCCACCAATTATTGTTTTCTCCCCATACCTATAACTGAAACCTTGGACATGAATTACTCTTTATGTTATTCCTCCTCCTGTAATTTGTGGGCCCCACAGAGCACAGTGTAAAATTATATTGCTTACTTCGCATTTCTTCCTAGTCACAATATGGAATGTAATTCAGGACTCTGTTGCACATAGCCTGATAAATGTTAAGGTTAATGAGTGCAGCTGCCAAATTCCTTTAAAGGTCCAAAGGCAAGGGGTGAGAACAGGCCTGGAGCTGATGATTTGGGGCAGTACCTCTGTTGTCCCACTGGGAAGAAAAGATCTGAGACAGAGGAAGGAATACTGATTGCTCTCAGATGGTATTTTCCTGCTTCCCAGAGCTATGTCAAGGAGATATATCTAAAATATATCTGCATGCTCTTTGATGGAGGGGGCACCACATGGGTATTTTACATTTTTACATTTTTATACCATAATGTCTTAGATTATTAATGACATAACTATTGCTCATGTGAAGTAGGGATGGATAAATGCTACCTAATAGCTTCCCTCTCTTGCTCTGTATTGGTCCTTTCCTGTAGGTAGTCTAGAATTCCAGGGTACTGCCAGAA